ACTTGACCCATATAGCCACTTGTGATCCTTAGTTGTTTGAGAAGAGTGGGGGGGTCTCATAACTCAAAACTGCCTTTGCCCAGCATCTACATGTGCACATTTTGGAGTAAGGATGCTCATTTCTTCCTAACTAGATTTGAAAACGCATTGTTTCCCCGATGCTTTCATGGGTGATATCCTTTTACTTAATGCAGATCAGGGATCAAATCAGACGTGGTGGCTTCCTTGCATGTGATCATTTAACATTCAAGTCAACCTACTATGCCAAATACTCTGTAGAATATCTAGGATTCGGTTGATGTAAGGAGTTTATTGGTATACAATGCAAACCATTTGTAATTGTGCCCTGGGATGATGCTCTTGAGGGCAGCTGCTGCTCTTATGGCTCGAGTACAACTTATTGACAAACAGCTTATTAAAGAGAACCAAGATCTTGGATTTTGAAACTTGCACTTTGCATATCTAATTCCGGAAAATTTTAGGCACAGATTGGCACGAGCCAAGGCTTGCAAACACCAGAGTGTGGGGTATTGCTGAAGTTCAACAATGTAAAACAGAATAGTTTGCCATTGAGAACACTGTCTTGAAAGCTTCCTGCACCTTCAGGTGGTTCAGCTAGTCGGCCTTTGGCTTGCAGGTTTAACTGGAACTGAGTAGGAAGAATCCTTACTTCTAGTGACAGGTCTATTCTACCAAGTCTTATTGACGAGCCAAGCTGCTGCTCTGTGATCAGCAGGAGTAGTGTGGATCCATCTGTCTCAGGAGCCGGACTACCAAGACTGCCACAGGGTGTTGACTTGTTTTGACATTCTGTTTGGCAAGCAAATTATCTTGGAGCCAAGGAGATTACTCCTGACTCCTCCCGCGCTCTCCCTCCCATCATTTAAGCAGACAAGAGGTTGTATTGAAAATAGGTCTTGCTTGCAGGTAAATAATAATAATCCTTGCATTTGATATAGTACCTTATCATGTCTTCGAGACTTCTTGAAGCATTTCTCCATAAAGTGAATTGACTGTATATTTTTGGGCAAAAGGCGGCAATCAATTGCGCATAGCAGTGTCCCATAAACAATGGTTGGAGGGACCAATTTATTATTTTTTGAAGGAGTTATTAGCTCTGGAAAAGTGATCAACTAACAACTGGGTTGCTACTTATTGCTGGGTAAGCAAAAGTACATGGTGTAAGGAAACATGCCCAACATTTTGCCCTGCCGGGAATTGAATCCAGGTCTCTCGCTTGTGAGGCAAAGTACTCTAACCACTGAACTGCAGGACTAAAATGTTACTTGGAAACAGTACTACCTTGAATTTTATATTATGTCTTTAAAGTTTGTAACCTTATGAACATAAGTTGTGTAAGCATTTGAAGAAATCGCCCTGAAAGCTTGTGGCTGGTTTGTGTAGAATCCACCTGGCTTTTATTGCAGGATGGATCACAGAGCAGCTGGTGTAGAAGAAAACAATCTAAGTTTGTTGATTGTGACGTTAATTTAGACCACTGTAACTTTTTCCCCAACAATTGTAGATCTGTTCAAGTTGGATCTCTAACTTGTAATGTCAGAGTTGCATTACCACTTTGTTTGCGGTGAGGTGGCAGCTTCTGGCTCCTCTAAGTACTAGTGCAAGTGTGCAAACTACCACTGTGCCTTTGAATTTCTCAGCAATGTTGAAGTTGAGTTGGCTAAATTAAATTTTAATTATAATGCTTCACAGGATTTGTGAAGTGTAGTGGCTTTTCTAGGTTAACGTGTCAGTTAAATTGTGCACAGTAGTGTTCCACGAACAGCCATGACTTGGATGACTAATTTGATTTGGAAGCTTGATAACCAGAACCCTGGTTCTTATTACTTTTTACTGGAATCTTATTACTTTTTTCAAATAGTGCCCTGAGATCAGGCAGATCACATCCACCTGAACAGGTGAATGACCCTCGGTTTAATGTCTCATCTGAAGGAGTATTACTGTATTGGAGTATTAATGTAGACCTTGAGCTATCAAATTACTTGGCTTAAGGGGAAGGATAGATTCAGGAAAATAACTCTGAAACTGTTCTTGAATGCTTTAAAACTAGTTCTGCCTCCAGTAGAAAGAACCTGAAAATGCCTGGTGTTAGGCCATTAGTTTAAAAGTCTGACACTTTTCCCAATGGCTATGCTATTTTTAGAATAATCTAGAGCCTTTATGACGTGCAGATCAATATGCGGTGAAAATGTTAGCCGCCTATAAATCTCCCTCCATTAAGAATATAGCGATTTATTGCTAATGTTGTCGCTGTTAATGTTGTCCTGTGAGAAGCATTCTCTTTATGTAATTACTTTCACCACTTTTGAAGCTATTTTAAGCTGTTCCATGCAATCAAGCAGATCCTTAAGTTTTTATTGATGTGCAGTTAGAATTTGCCAGGAATGCCTGGCTTAAATCAGTGCGACTTGTATCACACTTTTTTTTGTGCACTGGTAGGCCTAAATCATTAGTTCATAGAATACTGATTGTAAAATGTGCAACTTTGATTAATCCAGGCTCAAAGTATCATCAAAATTGAAATGGGTAGCTTTTCTGTATTTTAGTTGCATACTTCTAGATATGTTTTGATTTGCAAATGTGACTTGAGTCTTCTAAAATTGCTCTTCCGTTACAGCGCTAACTTGTTTAGTGTGGGTGTGTAACTACATTCCTGCCATTCTGTAAGGTGACGTAATCTTTTTGGAGGGTTGAAGTGGGTTTTGAACAAATAAAAATTATGTGTAAAATAAAGATTCTATGTTTGGCTCTTTAAATTGCACTTAAGATTGGATTATATTGGAAAATCTTTTTTAAAAAAAACTGTACAGTTTGCATTTGCAGCATGCAAGAGATGGGATGAAATCTTGTGCTTTCCAAGTAGGAGACTACTGGAATAAAAGCAGAAGTTTCTGGAAATGCGCAGCAGGTCAGGCAGCATCTGTGGAAAGAGGAAAATGAGTTAACGTTTCAGGTTGGTTTACTCATTTTCCTCTCTCCATGGATACTGCCTGACTTGCTGCATATTCCCAGCGACTTCTGTTTTTATATCAGATTTCCAGCATCTGCAGTATTTTGCCTGTAGAAAACTAATGGAGGTAGATTGGTTCAAGACTAGTTCTTGTAACTACTTTATTGGCTAATTACCCACATTAAAGGAATTTTCTTCAATCAGAATTGAACAATAATTTGCATTGATGCCTTTCATGTAAAAGCTAAGGGGCTTTATGGAGTAAGATTAAATGAATTGTGTAGGGCAAAATGAGTAAATATATACAGACCTCTGGTAAATACCAAGGCTGAGTAATTTTTTAAAAAAGGATAATTTTCTTTCACAATCGTGTCAAATTTAGGTTTCAAATTCACTGAATTGAAACTCCCATCTTCACCTTGGAAACACTTTCATCAGTTCATGTGGAGGGGAAATCAGACTACAAAGGCACTGAGTTCTTAAATGTCAAATAGTTTGTTCAAAACTCTTGATCATATCTTGGGAGCTGTGTATTTGGGTTTTTCAGTGTAGTCTGACTCCACCCAGGCAAGTTCTCTTTGTTTTGTTAACAGATCTTTGTTTCGAAACCAACACTCCTGGGTGTTAATATGTTACGGTCAAATAGCAGCTTTGATAACTTTCTCTGATAGTTTGACTGATCTCAGTTCTGTTAGTAGTACTTCTCTGAGCTTGAACGTTGTGGGTTCAAATTTGGTATGGGTGTCTTGTCTCTGTCCAGGCCATTGTTAAAGATCACACTCCGCTGCCCTGTGTGAAGGGCACTATAACACTATATCAAAATTCAAAAACGGATTTATCTATTTTAGCCAGTGATCCTTCAGATTAGTATGCTCATATGTGGAAAATTACTGCGTTTTTTCACTCACTCACTAAATATGCTGTAAAGTTGTTTTGATGTGATAATGCACTATTAAATAAATGCAAATTATTTTGTTCCACAATACCTCCACTATATGCAGTGGAATCTTAAATATTCTGAGGATTTTGGTGGTTCGGTATCACAAACTCACAGATCCACGTTACTGGTGACTACCGTAAAACTTGTTTGAGTCTTACCTGTAAATTGCATCAACAATAAAGTTGTACATTCACCGAGTCCCATTCAATGTCCTATCAAAATGACTTAGATTTCTTTATTCGTATTACTCACCTCCAAACTTGTAACGCCGCTCCTCTACCCTCCATTGCTCCTGTGCCTTGAATTGTGGGAATTGATGTCCTGACCCGTCGTCGCATGCAAACTTACAGTCCAGGCTACATTGAATCGTGAGAAACGTAGTCTTCATCTGTTGACACATGCACCAAAGAACTTAATTTCCCATGAGTCAGCATGATTCCAATATATGCTGCTAAGTGCACATGTGGTGACTGATGAAGACGCATTGAATCGCAGGATATGTGGTCTTAACCTGTCACTGCATGCGCAATTACCGGCTGCATTAAATTATGCCTATGCATTACACCGCATTGATTAGATTATATTTCTTATGACTTTTACAGTTTACCTTGGACTTGGTGTAAGTCATATTAAACCTTATGGTCCTGATTGATGCAACTTATCTGAATGTTACTGTATGTTGAAACTAATATGGTAGTACCAGGGAAGTGCTGTCCAGTTGAGGTGTTAAACTCATTTCCTGGCTGCCTGTTTCTGTTCATATTTATGTCTGCCCAAGACACTGTGAATATACTTTCAATTGAATAATATCTTTCAGGTCATTCACATGTTTTCACATATCATATTTTGCTCTGTACAAAATGACTTGCTTCTGCCTGCAGTCACTGCATTTGACCATGATGCTCTTTGAAATTATGTATTAAGGTGCTATGAAACAGTATTTAGAGCTGTAATTTTTTTCCCTTCCACTTCTCCTCCTCCATGTATATTACGAGCTGTTCAGAATATAGAATTCACAAACTAATGGATAAATAATGGATTTTTATTTACTATTCTGAGCTGTGGAACTAATGATCTTTGTTTTTGCAGATACTGTCGCATATTGGATGCGCATAGTTAAGGTGGAGACGAACAACGTGACGTACAGCTATGCAGACGATTAAATGTGTGGTAGTTGGTGATGGTGCTGTTGGTAAAACATGTCTCTTAATCTCGTACACAACAAACAAATTTCCATCGGAATACGTTCCAACGGTAAGATTTCAGTGTGTCTGAGACTAACTTACACTGTTCTTATGTTGTATACATTTTTTGTTCTCACTTTAATAATAATAATAATAATCCTTGCATTTGATATAGCGCTTTTCACGTCGGGAGGACGTCCCAAAGCGCTTCACAGAACACACTGCAAAGTGAATCGACTGTATATTTGTGGGTGAACGCGGCAGCCAATTGCGCACAGGAATGTCCCACAAACAGTCGTAGATTGAAAATGACCAATTTTATTATTGTTTTTGTTTTTTGGAGGGATTATTATTAGGTGTGTGGAGTAAGGAAACTTGCCCAAGGTTTCGCCCTGCTGGAATTGAACTCAGGTCTCTCGCTTGCAAACCGAGTGCTCTAACCACTGAGCTACAGATCTCCACTCTGAACGTAATTGATTTGTACAAGGGACACTTGGGCACCTAACTCATCTTGGATCCAACAGGGATGGTCTAGTTGGAAAAGAGATCAGATTATGGTTGTACACTAATATGAGAGGGGTTGGAGAGTTTGAGGAGGTCAGGACTAGAAATGAGGAAACATTGATTCATGTGGAGAGCAAAAACCAGCACAGAGTTATTGGGTGAATAGTGTAACAAATGCAAGGGCTATTCAACAGTGTGGAAAGGGGGTCTCTTTTTGAATGGATGTATTTGACCTTTCTGTAATCTGCAGCCAGCTATTTGGAACATCAATCACTTGTTCAAACTCCCGCGGCCTCATTATTTGTGGAAGGATCTTAACTTCACTTTTACTGTACTCCCATTTTTACACAATGTGCATTCATACAGGGCTAGGTATTCAAGTCTTTTTTTAAAAAAAAATGCCCTAGTTGGAAAAAATGCAGACTTGTATTTAGTCTCCACTATGATTCCTCCTACTAGGCCTCTTACTGTTGTGGCTTCATTTGAGTAAACTTTCTTCCCTTAATAATCTTCCAAACAATGACTAAATATGTGACGACTACATAATGTTCCAGGAGTTGAAGTCTTATTTAAAACGATTTAAGTGGTTTTGCATCTTTAAAAGACAAGAGCTCATTGGGTCCTAAAGAAACCGATGTTTCAATCAACCAAACATTTTTATTTTTGAATAGCGCCTTTCACATCAGAAGAAGCTCACATGCTTCTGTATATTCTCAGCACTACCTACATGGACAAGACACTAATGAGTTCCTATTTGTTGACTCATTTCCTTTGGCTTGGGCCTGTTTGCATGAATAGCTTTGGAACTGGACTGAATTGTTACTTTCTTTTCAAAAGTGAGCATTTTGTGGAGTCTTGTAGCTTAGTGGTTAGAGCAATCACCTCGCAAGTGACAGACCTGGTTCGATTCCCAGCAGGGTGAAACGTTGGGCAAGTTTTCTTACTCCACGCACCTCTGTTTACCTAGCAGTAAGTAGGTGCATGGATATTAATCGATTGGTGAAATACCTTTTCCAAGGTTAATAATTCCTTCAAAATAAATAAATAGGCCACTTAATCACCGACTGTTGGTAGGACGCTGCTGTGCGCAATTGGCTGCAGGGTTTTGCCCACAAAATATACAGTCAATTCACTTCACTGTATATTTTGTGAAGCTCTTTGAGACGTCCTGAAGACATGATAAGGCTCTATATCAAATGCAAGGATTATAATTGTACTCTTGCCACTCTCAAATGTAATCAAGGCTTCCAGTAACTAATGAGTATGTTGTTTTGCAGGTATTTGATAACTATGCTGTAACTGTTATGATCGGAGGTGAGCCATACACCTTAGGATTGTTTGACACAGCAGGTGAGTTTCTTTTATGAATGTGGCAATGGTTTGAAAGTTTCCCTTTGGTTTGAATTTTTCCCCATTTTATTTTCTTCACAATCTATTTATAATTTCCCATTGAACTGATTTGATGTCTGTATCTCTGACATGCACTCCTAGTGGGTTGTAAAGGCTCCATTCTCCAATCCTGGAACTGTCCACTTGTACAGAACATAATCCCAATGGGTCTTGAGTGAACACCCAGGTATCATATGGCCCTTAAATATTATAAATCAATATCAATATCAAACCAAAGTGGGGAGAATGGAGAAGAGAAAGGAAAGCCTAATCTTGGAATTTGTTGAATATTTGCACATAAAGCTTAATCTCTAGGTGTATAGAGATTGTGCTGATTCTAAATAGGCAAGTGCTCAGAAGATGATTGATGTAAAACCTCAAAAGTATTTGATGCAGGGTTTTGCGCTTAGCAATAATGCTATACAGATATAGAATCAAGTAAAATTATTCCAGTTTGAATAAGACGTTAAAGTTGGTAACTCCAGGCTTGAAGCAGGTCTCCTCCAATAGACTTGTCCTTCGAAAGAGACATTAAACTGTGGTCGCATCTGCTGTTCAGGAGGACTTTATAAAGATCCCATAGTACTACTCGTAAAGAGAAGGGACTCTCCTGGTATCCTGGCCAACATGGCTATTTGTGGGACATTGCTGTATGAAGTTGGCTACCGCATTGTGCCCACAAAATGCACAGTAAATCCACTTTACAGTATATCCTGTGATGTGCTTTAAGACTTGATGTGATAAAGTGTAATATCAAATTCTGTTATTGATAAACAGTTAATAAAATTGCTGGCGGTTGTTGATTTTGTCTCTAGGTCAGGAAGATTATGACAGATTACGACCACTGAGTTATCCACAGACAGATGTTTTCCTCGTATGCTTTTCTGTTGTGTCACCATCTTCATTTGAAAATGTTAAAGAAAAGGTTTGTTGATTTTATTGTGTGCCTCCCTCTAAATATCACAATATGCCACATCCTCATTGAGATATCTAAGCTTTTAATCAGAAACGCTACTTGTTCTCTGCAAGAGGCTGGTTGGAGTCTTGCTCTCTGGTCTCTGTCAATGGCCCTTCACTGTGTTTGAACCTTTGGGATGATTCTTGACTTTCTTCCCCTTTTTTTGTACCTTCTTCACAAATTTAGAAGAGGTAACTGGCTTGTTAGTCTTACCTTATGGTGATGCAGTTGAGATGGGTGACCACCCCCGCACCACCCGCGCTATGAAAGATGCCTCAAAGACATCATAAGGCACTATATCAAATGTAATGATCATTACCATAATTAGAGCCGGAGTTTTCCCTTCCCCAGGCTGCTCTTTGAACCAGACTCCCATCCCCAAATACTTAACTCCCCTTTTTTCCCTTTTATTGGGGTTAATGCTACTTGCCTTTCACATACTTCACCAAAGTGGCTATTCATATGCAAGTTATAACAACAACAAAATTACATTTGTATAGTGTCTGTCACATCAGGAGGACGTCCCAAGGTGCTGAATGACACTTGATTGAGGTATGTAAGTGAGGCATTTGACTGCATGGGAGAGCGGCATCGCAGCTGAGCCGATCTGGTTCTCAGAGTTTGCATGCCCCTTCCAGGAGAAATGTCTGGATAGAGATCGGGAATTCGGATCCTGGCTTTTCTTTCTCCCTTCTCCCACATCCTCTCCCCCTGCCTGGATTAACTCAATAAAAACAGGTTTGAAACATGTATTATCAACAACTTTCATTTATATAGTGCCCCTCATGCAGGGCAGTGTCCCAGAGTGCTTGATTATATCTAGTATTATTATCTAGTGCAGCATGCCTTTTATTTCCCCACACGGGCCATCCAGTAGGTTAGTTTTTAGATTTGTATAACATGAGGTTGCATTTGTGCTGCTTAAATTTAGTAAAGGTTTTTGTTTGTTTTTTTCCCCCTCTTTTCCCCTCTCAAATAGTGGGTACCTGAGATCACTCACCATTGTCCAAAGACTCCATTCCTGCTGGTTGGGACTCAAATTGATCTGAGGGATGACCCATCAACTATTGAGAAGCTCGCCAAGAACAAACAGAAACCAATTGCCCTGGACACTGCTGAAAAATTGTCCAAGGACCTGAAGGGAGTCAAATATGTGGAGTGCTCTGCTCTGACACAGGTGAGCTGACCCATTGGTGTGCCTTTGTGCTTAACCGGATTGGTAATTGGGGCTGAAGACCATTTGGGTAGGAACTACCAAACCAAGTCACTGAACCAATAGCCAGTTCCTATAATTAAATGTACAACTAGCAGGCACAATAGGCTTGAGACTGCAAGGGAAATTGAGTTACTCCGTGGGTAGGTTAGAAGGAAACAGGATATTGGAGGAAGCTAAGGGTGTAGTTGATGTATTTGCTCAGCACATCAAAATGGTGAGTGACAGCAACAAGCAAAGTAAAGGGATATTAGACTTCATCAATATATCAGTTGAGCACAATTAGTCCAGAAATCCTGGTTTAAACCACAGTGTTCTCAGATCATTTGTTGGGTGGGACGAAAAGAAACTTAAGAAGTACTTTTACACAAAGGATTGTACAGATGGAATGGATCACAGGGTAGAGAGTGGGGGAAAAGGAATCTCGGACACTAGACTCTTAATTGCTAAACTGCTTTAGTGGGAAGACGTTAGGGTGAGTATTGTGGAAAGATAGGATCAAAGGGCCTTCATCCAACTCTTGTGAGTGCATTCAGGATAGAATGAAACTTGGCTTCAGTCTGCCTAATGCTAGTTTAAAATGAATAAGCTTCTGTTTGTCAAACTGCTGTCTAATTAAATTGATGTGGGCCAGATGTCCTGTGGTGCAGTTTAACCCTTCTGAGCACTCTGCATTGTTGTCTGATTACCTTTCCATGATGCAACTGGGCACATTTAGTATCTCTATGGTGTCAATAGCTCAGAGAAAGAGGCTTTCAATATTCTACATTCTGGCTGCTCAGCTATGGTGATGGTCTAGTGCTAGGGTCTGGCTTCTGCTGCTACTACATATCTGGAGAGAAATCAAACCCATGGACCCAGAGGTGCATTGCTGGAGCTGGAACTTGCAGCTGTGTTTCCCACACTTTTTTTGCTGAAAATGGGAATTAAAACTGGATGCTGCTGTGCGATAAATGGAATTACCAGGTCCTATTGGAAACATCTTTACATTTAAATGTCCTGTGCCAAATGTGCCCACAGCCTTGACCAGCACAAAATCTTTCATTTCTCCCCACTCTTAAATTTTAATGGTGTACTGGGGAGTTTTGAAGTAAAACCCTGTTTGCTGATGGGGACCCCCTCACCCCATAATAAATCCATACTCTACTCAGCATCTTTGAAAACAATGATTTTGCCTGGAGAAAATGGATACTGTTCACGTTGAAGTTTTTGTGCCTCTTGCCTACACTCTTAATTTCTTTGTTTTAATTTAATCAAAACTTCTACATTCCATAATCTGCTTCAGTATTGTGACTAACCAGTTGGGCGTTAAGGTGCAGGTTGGCAATCTCATTCCAGAGATTGCGGGTGAAAATTGACGTCTGGTGTGCTTGTTATCACTGGTGATAATTATCAATATTGCTGGATGCAGTTGAGAGTTGAGAAGACTGCCCTGCACTTCGACTCCATGGAGAGTCTTTGGTTTTCCCTAAAACCAGAGTGACCCTTGAACTTTCAGCCTTTCTAGAACACTGCAGTTAAAGCACTAGCTAAGATGATACTGGTGTAACTCTTAAGGGTTGTGCAATTGCTGTGTTCTGTAGTCTGAATAGTGATGTTTGGCCTAACCATTGTCATTGAGTTGGAAATGGGGGTTATGCCTGTGCCAGTCAACTCTTCCAAAAATTGATGATTAACAGTAGTGACTTTACGCCTCAATTTTCACCTATTTAACGAATGACAATTTTTGCATTATACTGGGATTGAATGGTACGAAGGACAGTTGTATGAGAGGTGAGGAGAAATGCTTCACAGGCTAGATTGGTGTTTTGGCATGGCTTGGTGTGCATCTGGATGGTGACAATACTCTTACATTTCATGCTGAGTTGTGCTTGCAACAAGTTCCCGATACCTGCTATGACCCTAGCAAGAGCTCAAGCTTGTGCTTGTTGGATATCAGACTGACTAGTGACTATTCTTAAAGGGGAGGTAAGCAGTGTCTCCTTGGGGATAAACTGTTGCCATGGTGACCTACCTAGCCATAGAATTATTTGGTTCATGTGGAAAACCATCACTATGCTTAAGGGTATCCAAACTGAGTTCTATGCAACACACCTACACAAGGAAACTTGTCTGGAATGGAATACATACTTTCTACCAGGGGTGTATTCAAAACTCAGATTCCAGGAATGCCCCCAAGCCTTGGGGTCCTTATGAGTTATCTGAGCGTGGTGGGTGGACTTTACACGTCAGCGTGTGGTGTGCCAGCCACCTTGGATGTTCTTGATGACCAGTCCAATGCTGTGTACCAGGCTTTAATCAGCACCAGCTGCTTAACCCAAGTCTTTGTGTGAGGGGCTTTGGCCACTGCATGCTCTAGCTGTGAAGCCAAGTTTGCCATCCACTTCTCCTGTTTACCATAAATCCTGCTGATCCTGAACTTCACAAATGGGCCAGAGGAAACCCCTCCATTGCATCCCCAGGACGTTGGAACCATGAAGGAGAACTATTTGGACCTGGTCTTATCTGCCACAAGCTTAGCCTATATTGGAACTTTGCTATCCATAAAAGAGACTGATTAGAGTCCAGGCAAGCATTGGTGTCCATCACAATCCCCCAGACAAGAATCAGCAATTAGGATTGATGCCTCTTGTATCTTCCAATTGATAGTCTCTTCAGCCATGAGGCACCCACCATCGTGCCTAATGGTCAAAATGATAAGTTGAAGTGCATAAGATCCCCAGGCGAGTCTGCTAGCAGCATTATATTGTCTGTAAACAGAAATGCTGCAGTTCTATCAAAAATGGCAGGAACAAATGTACCAAGTCGGTGCCCCTCAAAATCATCCAATATGTTGTTGAATAATGTGGGTGACAATGGACCCCTTACCTTGCTCTGTTTCAAGAGTTTTTTCGTTCTGATTTGGGGGCCAGGATACACACTCCAGATAAAATCCAAAATGTGGATGTGTATTTTCTTCCATACATGTGTGGAACTCTGCCTGGTTTGAATACTCTTAAGCATAGTGATGTGTTTCTGTCCGTCAGATAGAATAGTGTGCCGGTGACCAAAAGATGCAATTTTTTCGTAGCCTGACTGCAATGTCACTGAGTTTAAACTGGCTGTTTATTCTCAGTATCTCTATTCAAGGGACTTTGTTCTCCTTTCCTAATTTTTTTGGTGTATGTGGGAAGGGAGGAGGAATCTAAGCTAACCCACTCGGTGCCTAGTACAATTTAAAGAATGGAACAGGATTCAATCTACTGTAAGCATTTGGTTGGAAATTCAGTCAATTAAATGGTACAGTTTCCCGCTCATGGCAAGATATGGCTCAAGTGCTCTAGATTCAGTTATAGCCATGTCCTTGGGTGGCTCTTGTGGTATTGAGCTGTTGCATAGGATGGGTGGCAAGGTGACTGGCTGGTGCAGAATGATGCATTAACACATTACCATCTTGGATTGATAGCTGACTTGCATCCAAAGCTGGATATTTGGGAACAGAGGGAAATCCTTTTTTTAAATTGGTCAAGCAGAAGGGAGATATTGTGAAATGAAAAATGAGCATGACTGTAAAAGGGGCGCGTGAAATCTCTGCATGCAAATAATACCTTTGATATAGCGCCTTTCACGTCGGAGGATGTCTCAAAGCACTTCACAGGGTAAACTGTAAAGTGTAGTGACCGGATTTGTAGGTGAATGCGGTAGACTGAGTGAGGAGGGGAAGCTAAGTCTTGGCATGCAATGCATGGTTGGTATAATTAAGGGGAAGTTACAGCAAAGGTTTGAGGACCAGTTGTGCATGCAATGCATGTGTGGTATTTTGATCCCTGACTAAAATAGAGCTGTTCAAATTGTTTGCTTCTAACCTGCCTTGCTCTCTAACCTCGTGCTGTTTTCTCCCCACCACCACCCTCTTCCCCCTCTGTCTTGTAGAGAGGTCTGAAGAATGTTTTTGATGAGGCTATCCTAGCTGCCCTCGAGCCACCGGAAACTCAAAGGAAGCGGAAATGCTGTATATTCTAAACTGTCTGCCCCTCATCTTTCTCTGTATTCCATTTGGTAGAAATGCTATTGAAATGAGTCCTTTTTAACTGTTACATCTCCTTCAAAGGTACTGGTCCCATTTACACAGCTGTCTTTGCAGGTGTCTAGTCTGATATGATTGGTGTGGTGTGCTTCATGCACTTGCCTCGTTTTTGTGGTCGCATGCAACTCGAGCTGCAGTAAAGTGGAATATTTTTCTTCTCTGGCTGAGTTGTCTTTTAGAGACCTGTGTAAATGGAGCCGATAAACATCCTAGTTGGGTTCTTGGTCTCTTGCATATGTGACAAAAGGTGATGCATTTTTGTAGCTCTTCACTTTGAAACCACGTCACTTTCAAGTGAGTCTGAATTTGCTTCAACTCTTATGGTGGAACATGTATTGTAGTGCCATCCAACCTGTGGTATTGCCTCCTTAAAGTGATTTGTGTCTTTAAAAGCTCTGTACTGTAGATTTTTCAGAAGCAATGTATTTTATTTCTTGCCTGCCTATTCAGAATGCTTATAGCTTAACTCCTTATCTGAAAGTGGATTGATTTCCCCCTCTTCTACTTAACTCTAAATCGAATTGCTCTTTGCTCCCAGCATTTTCATATTTTGTTATTAAATACTGCTTAAGATACAAACTCCCATTGGTAGCTAGAACTTGTGGTGAGGAATCTAATGAACTAGCCATAGCTGCTTTTAATCACAGAAGTAATTTATTTTACACTTTTGGGGAAATGTTGGCCACAGTGTGTAAGTGTTTGCTTTGTTCTTCCTTACACTTCTGCAAGCTTGTAATTTAATAGATTCTGGGTTCTGTTCAGTGTCAGGAATTCCAGATAATGCCCTAATTTTTTAGATACATTGCACAAGCACACAATTGGATTATCAGTGAGTGGGGGGGGGGGGAAGGGAGGGGTTAGTGAGTTTTTACTGAAATCAAATTTATTGCAAATAACTACAGAATAGTTATTCAGCTGAAAAAAGGTCACCTTCAACTCAAGCCAGATACATTAGTTATGACATGAGTAGTTAGTTTGTAGAATAGCTTGAATTTCTGTACAATAAATGTGAGCATGCTTCTTTGCTAAAACGGGGAAGTTGTATTTTGGTGACTTGAAGTGGTACCATGGCCCTATATGTAAGGTTCAAATTGTGTAAAATCATTACAAAGGAAAACTTGTGCAAGTGGTGAAAATACAGTATGTAGTGCATTTAGAAATGCAGTGGGGCTCCAATGGAGGGTTATCTTTTAAATTGCAGTTGGGCATCTATAAGAATGTCATTTTCTTCTATTTCCTTTCTCTCCCTCCTTTGCACTCACTTGTATATGGCTAAAACCAGTTGAGGTGCAATTGTGTCCTAATCTTGGATTTTTAGTGGAACTATGAGAATTATAATTGTGTGTTTCTCTCTCTTAATTTCTCCCCCACACCCATCCTTGTATCTGAAGGTCTTGTTTGTTGTCTCAAATGTACTGTACTAGCTTTTAGATCTGCAGATAGGGCAATGGGGAAAAGATATGTGTATTCCCCACCCCCCATGTAGGGAGCTATCCAGTGCATCAATGTGTGGGCATCGGCAGGTCTAGCACCAATTCCCCAAATCATCTTAGCTCCAAGAACATACATCAATCAATTCTGAGTTCAATGAGGTGTTTTGAGGTGTTGGTAGGAAACCTATAGCAAAGATGTATCCCCCCCTCACGCCATTTGTTTTATGAACAATTCTTATTTTCTCAAGTTTGCCATTTTGTGGTTTTATTTTTTTATTAAATGTTGAGTATCTGTAATGCTGAGACCCCACCTCTTCTTTCCCACTTTCCAGAAAGGACTAAAAAATGTATTTGACGAAGCGATCTTGGCAGCCCTGGAACCACCAGAGACTAATACGAAACGCAAGTGTGTTTTGTTATGAAGTTTGTTATGACCAGTGTCCAGCTGACATCAGCTTACACAAGTGTTTTAACAAACTGCAATAATGCCTTGCACCCATTGAATGCGATGGGTGGAATGAAACGATAAACTGTATTTCCCCTGATCTACAATGCAGCATAAGTAGATAAAGTGAATTTGTTTCAGATTTTCCACTGGATATGCTTAACTTTTTAATCTGCCTTCTATTTTTAAAAAAAATCATCTCGTCAGTAATTGCTTTCATTAATGATCAGCCCTTTGTAAGCCCTAGTCATGCTCCCAAGTGCCACATCCAGAACCTAGTGCTACCGGATTCCAATTGTTTCCTGTCAAATTGGATATGAAATCCGTGTGTTGGCACATGACTGCTAGATTAGAACTGTTAATGTGTAAATGTTCAGCATTCGAGTGTTGTACTTGGGAGTTGTAGGGTAAATACTTGCTTATGCATATGTGCAGACTGGATTCAGGTGATTAAAAAGTTAAGAATCCCAGTGTTGTGGACCTCTCTGTCACTTTGCAATTTTTTTCCATTAAACTCGGAACTTCCACGTTCCTCGCACATCGTTGTAACTTTGGTTTAAAGGACGAAAAGCTTTATTTCATGTTTGAATTCTTTGTATGTGCATTATTTTCGAAATATTAAAGTTGTACCTTTAATGGCCTTTATCCTCATCCGTGATGTGTATTTACAATACCAATTCAACTTTTGCTTCATACACTTTGTTTCTACACTTGTGTTATTTGGCCAAAAGAGATCCATCCTACACTGAGCTTTAAATCAGTACAACACTGCTGAGAGTCGCGAGTAGATTTGAATGCTGAATGGCGACTGCTCCTGTTGGCTTTATTGAACTTGTTGGACAAATGGAAATTTCTACCCCATTGTCCAATCTCTCAATGCTGCAGTACTTATCTAGGTAGACCCACTCAGTCCTCAATCTCCAATTTTTTTTGTTTGGGGAGGGAGAAGTCTTCAACAAGGTTGCGGATTCCAAGCTAATTGTTCACACACATCTGTCGACATTATACTCAATTTCAAGGTTTTCGGAGGCTTGTAGATTAAATGCAGCTAATGTACCTTTTGTACAGTTTGGACCAGACATCAATAGTTCATGTATTTACAAGCTTAAATGACTGGGGTTGGGCACTAATGTGTGCAAGACTACAAAACTTTGTGCCACTGTAGAGAAGACATAATGACACACCACTGACTCCATATTGAAATTCAGGCGACCATTCAAACCAAAATCTTTCCAATATAGAGTTATTGTAGGACATCCCAAATTGTGAAAGATGACACTGGAACATATACCTTCAGGGTTTTTTCTGTGCCTGTATTTAAAACCCAAATGGGGAATTGTGCCACATAAAATTAGTAAAGTGGCTTCAAGAAAATCTTAAATGGGTTGTGTTGTCAGATACTCCATACAATATTTTCTTAGTCTTGAGGGGATGCAGCATCTTCCTATCTACCTTGAGGAAGCACTCTTAACGTACCCACATGGTAACCTCAAATTTATCATGAAGCTTATCTTGTGCAGTATAATGGTTGTCAATACACATCATTGGATGTATTGCAATTAACCCTAGTGCATTGACACTGGCGTAAGCTGCCTTCTGTGTAATTAAGGCACAAGCTTTATAGTTGCCTTCTCTTCCCCGCCCCCCCCATGCCCACAGATCATTTCTACACGCAGAAGATCCATGTTCTTTGTGAAGACATTCCATGCATCTTACTAGAACCGATCACTTACTCCCCGTTTGGACTAGCTAGGATTAGAAAAGCTAATTGTTTTTGCTGATCAGAATTCTGAAGCTGCACAAAGTGAGCTGCAGCAAAGGCAAGAGGCCATGAACTGATTTGCCACAAAGGCCCGTGTGAAGTGTGGTATCGTTCTATTGCAGAATGGGCAAACGTTAATGGTTAATCATATTTTATCCATCCGCTAAAGGAGTAGAAATTAATCGCTTCATAGTGCATGGGAGATTTTTTAGCTGTAAAGTATCTGTATGGAAAATTGTCTGTAGTTCTGTTTTACTGTAGCATGCAAGTCATGTATTTTTCCTACTCAACATTAAAATGATACCTTTTTAAGTTCCTCTTTGTCTTCATTGCTTCAGTGTAGTGTTGCTTAATAATAATTAATTTGCCTGATCTGACTGGTATTACATTTCCAATTTAATTCTTTTGAGGTTTTTTATTATTATTTTTAAGAGAACTAATTTTACAAAATGCATATGCCCACAAAATAATCAATTCACTTTACAGTATATTCTATGAATCACGTAGAGACATCTTGAAGATATGATAAGGTGCTATATCAAATGCAAGGATTATTATTGTTTTCTCAAGAAATCTCAATCTTTCAGGCTTTTTTATTTCAAGTGATGACTTTTAATGCAGGTACTGCACGCTATGTATTCTGTTCAATGCATTTATGCACCTTAATCCTGTGCAAATTACTTTTTTTATTAAATTCATTTGGATCTGCCAATATTCATTTGTTTTGAGGGACACAATTTGTTATATCTACAGTAAACTTGAGAAAACTTAACCTTGTCTTAACTTACCACTACCTCTTAAGTCCTCAAGTCAGTATATTCTGGCTGCATTTATTTATGTATTTATACGTATGCTTAACTCGCTCACATTGAGCCCTTTTCCTTTGGAGTGATGAGTTATCAGGAGTTTACTGTATATAATATGTAGTTCCACGCAGTGAACTGCTGAAGTTAAACTGTCTGAATTGTCAACCTTACCCATTGATAAGCTAAGCATGGTGAATGTAGAATATTTTGTACACTGAAGTTGAAATGAATCTAAAGTACTGTCACCAATTCACTGAAGATTGGGAGAGTGCTGAGGAGTGATTGAAGGATTTACATGTAGCTGTAAGTATTCAATCAGTTGTCTTAATATTAACCTCATAAGCCATAGAGACTATTGGTATGGCAATTATTTATTGGATTGACCTGCATTCAAATTTTCTCAAAAAAAATGTCTGACCATGCCTTTGTTACCCACACACCAAACCGTCCGCCCTGTACTTTATAAAGTGCTTTTTCAGAAGTGATGGTATAGAAGACAACTACATGCGTCTCCCAAGTTTTGTCAGCAATTACTATCAGAATGTGTTTAATGTCCAATTGTAACCAATTACGTATCCTATTTACTCAGTAATCAGCAAAATGCATTGTCATCTTCCAGCAACTAATAGCTGAAAAACAAATAACTTCCAACACAAGAGCCAAATGTTTTAAAGCGCTGCAGCTATATATCCATGGACGCAGTCGTTGAAAATGTATGTTCAGTAAATATCACACAAGTTATTTTGCAAAGCAAATATGGAACTGGTCAGGTCATTTATTGCACCTGCAGTGCAGTACATTGATTATTATGAGACTATCCTTTTTGAGGGAGGGGAGCTAGATGAGGAGGTAAGCAGTGTCTTTTGGGGGTCAAGCTGACCTCAAGGCAATGCTCCTGACAATTAAGCTTGCTTCTAGTCTATCCTCTGTGGTGGCCTTCAGTCCAGTTCCTGATCCGGGCAGTTCCATGGTTCTCTGGAGGCAATGCTGCTGACTGACCTGCCTCAGTCGTGGCAGGACTTGGAAGGGTTGACCTATCACTGAGTGCTGGGTTTCTCCTTACTTCACTTCTACTATCCCAGTAAACTAAAGCCCTATCAAGCGCAGGGTGGTTCAAGTTGAACCAGCAGCAGAAAGCTCATCAGTGCAATGGCAACCTTTGTTTAGCTGTTTTCAGCACTAGTAATACTCCAATGTACCCTGTGGTCCTTTGCCTTGTGAATATGTGCCTAAACTCACTGAGATTAGATAAGCAGGGGTATGCCTCTAGGGAGACTTCACTCTCTATGCTGGTCAGTTTCTGCAGGTCAGACACTTGACTAACACATCAAATGGTTCTTTGTCTCATAATTTAGGCATAATATTCACATACAAATCGGACTGTCCCCATCCTCAGGTTGGGTTTTCCCCTGAGATCACAGCATTCTGTGATCTCATACAAAACACAACCTGCCCCCAGACTACTCACAAGAATAGAATCTAGCCTATTACTTCCTAATCAAACTGCAAGCCTCCAATGCATCCAATATATGTTGAGTCCTATAGCTCAGTGGTTAGAATGCATGCCTCCCAAGCGAGAGACCTTGGTTTGATTCCCGGCAGGGCGAATTGTTGGTCAAGTTTCCTTACTCCACGCCACTGTTTACCCAGTAGTAAGTAGGAGCCCGGTTGTTAATCAATTGGCCAATTGCCTTTTGGGGGGGTAATAATTCCTTTAAAGTAATAATAAATTGGTCACTTCAATCCATGACTGTGGCACCCTGCTGTGTGATACTGGCTGCCTGGTTTTGCCCACAAAATATACAGTCAATTCTTTACAACAGAATTACATTTGAATATATTTCATTTGAATATACACAGTATATTCTGTGAAGCACTTTGAGATGTCTGAAAAATGTCATAAGGCGGGATATCAAATGCAAAGTTTATATTATATATTACTCTTTTAAGCATGGTGATGGGTTTCTGCCTATGTCAGAAGAAGCCTTATGGCTGAAGAAAAAAAAGGATTCATACATTTTCAGTATAACTTGGGAATTTGGGTCACATTGGCATGAGCAGATGCTGCATTTGTTTACCCTCGGACCAGTGTTGCACAGGATCAGGTATCTTTTCTTCATGGTTTCTTTGTGGTTTTGTAACTAGTTTGTTAGCTATAGGTATTATTGCTGGTTGCCTAAGTAGATGCAAATCTGTTTGTTAATCAGGATAATCTTAATGTTTAAGATTCTCTTTATTTGCAATTTATGATTTATCCATTTTTTAAAAAAATCTTTTTTTATTTTTACTTTGTTAAACCTGTAACGCTGAGACCCCGCTTTCTTTTCTCCCACTTTCCAGAAAGGACTAAAGAACGTATTTGACGAAGCGATATTGGCAGCCCTGGAACCACCAGAGCCCAAGAAGAAACGCAAGTGTGTCTTGTTATGAACAGTCTCTGCAGCCTGGCGTCCGCTTACCCACGCATTAAGCAAACACAACTCCTGCAATAATGTCCTGCGCGCACTGGCAGAGTGCGAGAATGGGAGGAATAGAATAGCCAAAACGGTATTTTTTCTCCATCTAATGTAACATTTATTAGACAAAGTGAATTTTTTGTTCCTGATTTATTTTCGACTGGATACTTATCTAACTAGATTTTTTTAAAAAAAATCTGCTGTTCTAAAAAAAACAAATTCTCACCGCAAGCAAGCATGACACTCGAGCAGTAATTGCTTCTGTTAATGGTCAACTAATGGTTCTGTAAGACCTTGCCATATTTTTTCTTTCTCCCCTTTCTCCTCCCCCTCAACGCCCCATTATACCACATCCAGCACCTATCGCTACTGATCAAGATTCTTAGAGGCCAGATTTAATACTTGTGTATAGCACATGACTGCTAGATGAGAGCATGTGCAGTGCAAATGTCCAACAAATGCTTAAGAGTCTTAGAGCAGCTACATGCGTGAGGGGACTGGATTCTGTGGTAACGTTTAATTAAAAAAAGTTAAGGATCCCACGTAGATGCCAGTGTTATGCATTTTTACTGAAATTTGTTTCCTTAAAAGAGAAACTCCACAAGTTCCTCACTGTCCTTGTAACTTTGGTTTAAAGAAATGACCAAAAGCTTTATTTCATGTTTGAATTCTTTGTATATGCATTCTTTTCAAAAATATTAAAGTTGTACCCTAATGGCCTTTATATCCTTATCAGTGCCGTGTATTCACAATGATTGTCACTTTGCCTTGATTTTTTTTCCTCATTTGGTCGCACTTTTCATTGTTTAGTCATAAGAGCTCCACAAGTTGCTGAGAGCTGAAAAGTGGTGACTGTTGTCTTGTTTTGGGCAAGTTGTTATGGAAATTCCACCTACCATATACCACAGCTGAAGGCCTTGCCACCAAAGAGTTTGGCTTCTTTGTCCATTTCTAACCCAAAATCTTGACCGATTGCAATAATAAATTGGTCATTTTCAATCTACGACTGTTTGTGGGACATTGCTGTGCGCAATTGGCTGCTGCGTTCGCCCACAAATATACAGTCAATTCACTTTACAGTGTGTTCTGTGAAGCGCTTTGGGACGTCCTCCCGATGTGAAAAGCGCTATTTCAAATTCAAGGATTATTATTATTACCTCCTGAAAGGCCTACCTTTGATGAGTGACTTGGGCAGTAATCCACCATTGTGTAGCTCAAGCTAGGAAATTGAGTCGGGATACTTTAAACCGGAGGTTACGGAGTCTTGAAGGAAAATATCTTTGTCCTTTGCTTAGTCCAAGTGGGAAGTGATGAATTGTTGATTTTCAGGTGTGAAAGTTTCCATTTGTCTGTTCATATGGATGTTAAGGGACCTAGGGCCCAGGGACAACTCCCTCCCAACAATCCTCCAGGTATGGTGGTCTATTGCCTTATGCCATTTGATTGTCAAAATCACTTCCCACTGGTAGAGGTGAAGATGGACTCAAGGAACAGGCTCGAGGGGCTGAATGGTCCACTCTTTCTTCTATTATGAATAGTGGAGGGACAGACGTTTTGAAGCACTTTTCCCACATAAAGTTGATTGACAGCATTTTTAAAAATTGGACAAGAGTGTACAGAGGAAGAGTTATGAAAGGGCAGGAAGCAAGCAAAGGACTAGGATTAGGGTGGATGGCTTCCTGGAGGAGTAAATGCAACCTGAAAGTACACCAAGGAGTCCTGTAGCTCAGTGGTTAGAGCACTCGCCTCGCAAGTGAGAGACTTAAGTTTGATTCCTGGCAGGGCAAAACCTTGGGCAAGTACTCCAAAGGCTTGATAATAAAAAAAAATAAGAAATTAGTCACTTCAATTCACGACTGTTTGGGGGACGCCGCTCTGCACAATTGGCTGCCACATTTTGCCTACAAATATACAGCTAATTCTCTTAACAGTATCTTCTGTGAAGTGCTTTGGGATGTCTAGAATCACTGTATCAAATGCAAGGATTATTATTAAATAGCTGCCTAATATCATCCAATAATTTGGTCACTCAATCCAATATTATTTGTGGGACT